GAAAACAGACAGTAGTTGCGCTTGGAAAAAAAGGTCTATATTCTTTGAATTACAATATTGGAAATTCAATGAATGTAGACATAATCTAGATGTGATGCATATAGAGAAGAATATTTGTGATAGTTTAGTTGGAACATTATTAGATATTCCAGGAAAAACCAAGGATCACACTAAAGCCCGACTTGACCTCGTAGAACTTGGTCTTAAAAAAGACTTGCAACCTGTTCTGTCTGATGATGGAAAGAATGTAATTCTGAAAAAGGCAGGTTATTCACTATCTTCCGAAGAGAAAGAGTTATTTTGCCTAGCTCTAAAACAGGTAAAATTACCTTATGGTTGTGGATCACATATTGCACATTGCGTGCATGTTTCAGAGAAGAAAGTCTCGGGATATAAGAGCCATGATGCTCATATTATGCTGCATTTCTTGCTTCAAGTAGCAATAAGGAGATCTTTGCCTAAACATGTTGCCATCCCTTTAATTAGGCTGGGTTCATTTTTTCAAAAAGTATGCAGTAAAGTGTTTTTAACATCAGAGCTTGATCAGTTAGAGCTAGAAATCACTGAAGTATTGTGTGACCTTGAAGAAATATTTCTTCCATGTTTTTTTGATATTATGCTACATTTACCAATTCATTTAGTGAGAGAAATTAGGTTTGGTGGACCTGTGCATTATCGGTGGATGTATTTTATGGAGCGATATCTATGCAAATTGAAGACTTATGTTCGTAATAGAAGTCGCCCCGAAGGTTCTATAGCAGAAGGGTACCTGATTGAAGATTGTGTTGTTCAAAGACTTATGTTCGTAATAGAAGTCGCCCCGAAGGTTCTATATCTATGCAAATTGAAGACTTATGTTCGTAATAGATATAATTGAATTAAATTATTGGTCAAAGTTCAAGATTGTGTTGTTCAGATGTGAATGGTATCAAGTTGAGAAAGATGACTACGGGCTCACATGTGTTAACTCCTCAAAATTTTGCTCTTTAGATGATCCTTTTGTCCTTCCATCTCAAGTGAATCAAGTTTTTTATGTGTCAGATCCTATTAACAGTGACCTATGCTATGTCATGGAAAGAATTCCTAGAAATTTATTTGAAGTAGAGACACAAATTAATGAAGATACACAAAATAACTACTGGAAGGAGGTTATAGATCATCGAGTTCAGTCTTTTCCCCGTGTTGTTTTGGATGACATCTATCTGGCTAGAGAAGACCTTGCTCCAATCATTCTGGATGCTGAAGCAGAGACTGTGAATGTTGGTCAATCAAGCACTGCAGTGGAAAATGAATCTGAAGAAGAAGAAGATGACACACTATGGGATTGGATGCATGCTAGTGACGAAGAAGATTATTAACTTTGCTTTGCCCTTTTTCTAATCTTAGCAATATCTTGATTTTTTTTTCTCTAATTCACTTTTGCCTTTCTTTTTATATAAGATGCTTTATCTTGATTGGTTTTAGCTAGATTTAAACCATTAGACTGGTAGACTATTTGGTGTTAACCTTATCGAGTAAGACTCTAATTTTCTTTGCTGCATGTAATCTTTTTCAGCATCCTTGAAGTATACACTACAACAAAATTGGCTTTTTGTAACATTCACTTTGTAACATTTTTATTTTTGTTACATATAGCATCAAAAGTTAAGATTACGGCAACGCTTATATAAAAATGTTGCAAAACATCTAAATTATTCATTTTATGCAACACTTATTAAAAATTGTTGCAACTATTAACTATTATGCAACATTTATTTTCAAAGTATTAGCTTAAAACTATAAGTGTCGTCATAAACTGTACTAACCATAATTATAATACTCCGTATTAGAATTTTATTCAAAAAAGAAAAAGCCTATTAATTAGTTCAAGATACTATACAGATAATCTCAACCCCAAATACAACACTTCTAAAGAAGCATCGGTGTTAAAGACTAGATCCGGTCTAAGTCTTAAGTCGCCGCTCTTGTGCCCGCCGAATCCGCCGATCCTGCGCAGACCGCCGATTCTACGCCTACCGCAGCCCCTGCACCTAGCTACCGCAGCCCCTGCGCCAACCGCCGCTCCTCCGCCTACTGCCGCTCCTGCGCCTAGCTACCGCTGCTCCTTCGTCTACCGTTAGCTGATGTCACCGTCTTCTCTGCTCTCCTACCATATTCAGGTAATATGATTTTAAAATATTAAAATATCCATTAGGTTTTTAATTTTTTATAATTTGCCTTCGTTTTTTTTTATACTAGTACTTTTTTATCCAAGATTTGTGTTGTGGCTTTGATTTGTGATAGATCTTGAATATTAATTATCTAAGAGCTCAAAGCAGAAGAAATTACCCCTATTAAAAACAAAGACATTTCAAAGACATTTTTGAAATGTCTATAATGTGTTTGTTAAATTGTGTCAATGAGAAATTCTTTTTCTTTCAATTGATGTAGTAATCTGTACCAACCTTTCTAATGTTCAAAGAAGACTACATGGCAATATACTTTTGAGAAGTTATCTCATATAGAAACAATAATGGATGTAATAATTTGTACTTCGTATTTCATCATTCTAGTTATCTAGTAATGATATGATTAAAAATCTACCATATCTTCTGCTTAAAGAGCTCATTGAGATTTGTATAGGAGCCAAAATTATAAAATTATAATTAAGTTGAAGAATTTCATTCCCTCTCAAACATTGATGCAACTTATTCCATACATGATGCTACTTGTTAAAACAAATAATCTAGTGCGAATTCAAACCGTGTCTTTTATTATTCAAACCATATTAAAATAAGTTCTGATGAAAATGGAGGAGTTGAAAGTGGATGATTTCACATTTTCCATTTATGGGAGTTCATATACCCAATATTGTTGTATACTTTTATGATATAATATTGTCTTCTTTTGGCCATTATTACCACCCACATAATAGAGAATCAGTGATATCCAGTCAGTTGGAATATATAGGAATATGCTCAGTTACTACAATTATCATAGGTATATCCATTAATTTTTACTACGTACGGAGTATTATATTATCCTATTGGGGTACATCCAAATAAAGGGTGTACATGATTTTGGGGAAAGAAAGTCAGAAAGTCTTGCATTATTTTTGATCTTGAAATTATGGCTGTGAAAGATTTTGAATTAGCCAAGTTTTATTTACTTTTACTGTTATCATTAGATTGTTTTTTATTATAAGTACCGTAGTATTACTCAAACATAGTTAATACTTTGAATGTTTTTTTCAGGAAAAAATGGTTAAAGCTAGAGATAAATTGTGGCAATGTTTATCAGGGAAAAACTTTAAGCACCATATCAGCACAATAGGGTAAGGAATGATCTTTATTTGGTATTGATAAAATCAAATAACTCATGTGTACTCATTATTGAGAAGATAATAGAATATTTGACTTATAATTGTCTTTTTCTAATCCCTTGTGTTTTGTATTTATAGGTGCCGTGCGTGCATGAGAACTTTGTGTGACAAAGTGACCCGTTAATTGCAATTGTACTATTCTGGATCACTATACTATGTACTGCGTACAAAATTAAAATTTGGTTTGGTTATTGTTTTCTTATATTCATTTTTAGTGTTTCTTTTATTTACTTTTGTTATGCTGTTTTCTTTTATCTCTCACAGGGAAATGCTAGGAAGACTGATGCACAAGAAAAAATGGTGAAAGCTAGAGATAAATTATGGCAGTGTTTATCAGGGAAAAAATGCAAGCACCATATTAGCACACTAGGGTAAGGAATGACCTTTATTTGGTATTGATAAAATCAAATAACTCATGTCTTTTTATAATCCATTGTGTTTTATATTTATAGGTGCGTGCATGAGAACTTTGTGTGACAAAGTGACCAGTTAATTGTAATTGTACTATTCTGGATCACTATACTATGCTCTTCTTACAAAATTAAATTTTGTTTGGTTTTTGTTTTTTATATTCTCTTTTAGTGTTCCTTTTATTTAATTTTGTTATGTTGTTTTCTTTTATCTCTCACAGGGAAATGCTAAGGAGATTCTGATGCACAGTATCATCCTTCCACATAATGGAGTGGTTTAATGATTTGGAGTTCATTTTTTAAGCCACAAAACATTGAAGATATATTATACTCCATAGTTAGTTTAAACGGTGCAAATCTAGGTTTTTACTTTTGATGTATTCCTTTTAGATGTTGATGTTTCAACTTTCTTCAAGGAGAAAATATGTAATGATGATTCTGTACTATTGAATATTTAAATATAATATTTCTATTTGTATATTGAACTTGTTATTATGTGTACCATATATAAAATGTGACTCAAGTGGCTTTGTTGTTAAAAAAATTGTTGATATTATTGTTAATTATTAATTAACCAAAAAAGTAAGAGGTGTGACAATACGTAACACTATAAACGTATTGCCAATTAATGCAAATTTGTTACATAAAGTACAGGTGAAAGTGTTGCTTTATATACATTAATGTTACAAAATGGTAATATAGATGTGTTACATAAACATAGATATGATGTTGCCTAAAGTCACATTTTAAGTGTTGCATATATTAAAAAGTGTTACGTAAGATGTAAACCAGGTCGTTGTAAAAAAGTGTTGCATATGATATGTTTTTGTAACATTTTAACTCAATGTTACATAAGATGCTAAAAAGTGTTGCATATCACTTTATGCAACGAGACCTGAAGTAACACTTATAAAAGTGTTGCTTTAGCCTTTTTGTAACACATTACCCATCAAATGTAACAATTTAGCACCGTTACAAAAGGCTTGTTTTGTTGTAGTGATATTACAATTTCTTTGCAGATAAGATATGAATTTAGTGCTGTTTTATCTTTAAGCAAGCAAATTTCTTCAATGATTTGTATGTTTTGTGAACAACAATGAGTTGTGAGCATGACACCACCCTCTATGCAGTGTTAGGGATTTCTTTTGGACTAATAAAAGAATGTAACATAAGGTGGCAACCAAAATATAAAGCATAGGTGTGTTTCAGGTAATGGACAAAGTCAACAACAAAAGTATTGCTAGAAACATAGCAAAGAAGAGAACACCAGTTGAGTGTGCAAGAACGTTGACAAACTATGAGATGCAACGGGAAGAACAAATTGAGCTGAACAAGGAAAGGATGCGCCAATTGAATATTCCGCTTATCTCTGAATCACTATCAAGTTTGGTGGACAGCAAAGGTACGAGAAAGAGAAAGGACAAGCCTAGAAATGATCCTAACTATGATCCTAATGAAGAAATCAATTCTTTAGAGGTCACAGAAAGGGTAAGCATGGTGAAGAAGGTATGTTTTACATGTCAGATTATTACTTTTGTACTTTGAAAGTAATTTACTATGGCTATGGTTTACTGTATCTAAGGTTTTGTGTTATTTTGTAGAAAAAGCAAAAGTGCATTGCACCATTATCACTTCACAGGGTTCTAAGGGACAAGAGACCTCAAGGAATGTCAGCATATAAACCAATGGACCAAAATCAATCTCAGAAAAAGGTCACAACACACGATGTGCCTAACAATGATGTTCCTGTGAAGAAAGTTGCGCATAACAATGTTGTTCCAAAACAATCTACAGAGAATAACAAAAAAAAGAGTCCACCATGTCATGCAGTTATCAATATGGCTGAGTTTTTAAGGAAAAAATGTGAAGAGCCAGGGTCAAAAGTTCATTCTGAATTTGAAAATCATAACTGTCATCTTGAAAATAACGGTATTAAGTTAAAATTATGTTTTTGTGGTTATTTGATTGGATCATAGTGTATTTTGCCCGCACAATATTAGTATTTGTTGAAAAATAGATATTATGAGTTCACCTAATAATACAGTGCAAGAGGATATTGGTATTGATGCATGGACAGATGAAGAGATTTTTGATTTCTATGAAGATTTCGGTGGAGAGGAAGGTATGAGTTACTCATTTCTGGATTTCTCATAATATCCTTTCAATATATGAAAGAGACCAGTTTATTAGCGGATTTTTTCATAATATAACAGCCCGAGAATCACCTAAATTCCCTATCACTAAATGGTCATCCTGCCAAATACCCAATACTGCTCATATTAGGTTTAAGGTTTGGTTTGGTTTATTATGGTTAATAAACATTATGTCCCTGTTTCAAGAATTATGTAATTATTAATACTTGCTTGAGGACAATAACTGTTGTTAATGGCAATGCTACTAATTTCAGAGGTTTGACTTTACTACTTATTTTAAGCAGGTGGTGACAAAGATATAGAAGAGAATATCAGCGATGCTATATATGATTGATGAACACGTTGAAGATGAACAAAATGACGGTCTGAGTGAACAAGTGGAGCTTGAACATGAGGTGACAGGTGGTGAGATACAAAAAAGATCACGTAAGTGCTTTCAGTTCCTTTCTATATAAAAGGACTTCAACAACTTCAAGTACTTATAAAGTTATAATCTCTCATCAGTGAGACAGTTTACATTAAATGTAATAATGATATGTTTTTGATGTATTATTTAGATAATTCGGAAAGAACAAAAAACACTAGGGGTCCTACAATGATGCATGCAGTGCATATGCGAGAACATCGTGTATGCATCATATTAAATAAGTTTGGTCAGCCAATTGGACCGGATGATGCTACACTAGATGAATTCTCATCCTTTTTGGGGACAATTGCTCATTTTTTTTTTTTTTTTTTTTTATGGGCGTATGCCACTGTTTGCGACGCACACACGGTATTCTTTAGTAAAAGGCGAAAGAATAGTTCGCTATGTGTGCATCGCGTGGCTGCGTGGGGGACAATTGCTCATTGTTATGAGTTTGCTCCATTGGTAGTTGGAACTTGGAAACGTATGCCGGACAAGAACAGCATGTGGGACTATGTACTGGTATGTATTATAGAGCTCTTAGTCTCTTACTTTTTTGGTGATGCTTTTTTCATTTAATTGGATTTTTACATGTTTATGAATTTGTGAGTGGCCTTTGCTCGCTTTGAGAAGATAGTCCCTGTAATTAATATTATACATGAATTACATACATTGAATTATTATAAAAAGAAAGTTCATATTTGAGATTAATTACGAGATTTTTTTTAATTAATTAAATATTATAACATTTAAAGCTAATATAACTAACTTTTTACCCGCTTATATAGTCCAAATATGACGTTGACCTGAATGGAAAAAAATGGGTATTGAGTACAATTGGATCAGCCTGGAGAGTTCACAAGTGTCGGTTCAAGGACAAATTTTGCTCACAGTACAAGGATAATAAGAGCAGATGGAGTAAGCGGCCAAAAGAGATTCCTGAAAAAGATTTTCGAATGCTCTTAAAGTTGTGGAATTGTAAAGATTACCAGGTACATTAAATAAAATATAAATGTAATTCTATTTTTAATTTTATTCTTTCACATTTGCTAAGACTAAATTTTTGCGAACATTCAATGTAGCAACAATGTAACCGTAAGAAGGCTAATCGCGCTCTCCGAAAAGATAACCCCACGACGGGTCGCAAGTCTTTTGCCAGACTTCGTGCAAAATTGGTACCATACATATTTTGTGTAACAACTTTTTATTGTTTGTTAATTGTATAATGTTACAAATGATTTTTCTATTTATCACAGCAAACTACCCTTCCGAATGATGTTGACATACCATTATCAACTATGTATGAAGTCACACGCAAAAGAACTGAGGGGCGTCAATATAAAAGTTCATATGAAGATACTGCCACAAAAATTGTGAGTCTTGCGTTGTCATATTATATTATCTCTTTATTATTTCAGTGATTTATTACCCATCACTAATTTATTTGAAATCGAGAATGTTTATTTTTAATGAGGCGTACATCTTAAATTTCCTTGTACACTTTGCATTGTGTTTTTTTGCTGGCAGTAATTTTATGTAGGAGTTGTTTGGAAGACTATGAAATCATTAAACACCATCAAAATTTATCATTTGATAATATTTTATCACCCTTTAAAATAAAGTGACTTGACTATTTTTATTCACTGCATCAAAGGAGTTGTTCCAAGTGAATTCTTGTAGGAAATTGGATATCCTGTAACTTTTATTAGGAAAAATAAAGTCTTTCGAACTAAACTCAAAACTATCAGTACAAGCAAGGGAGAAAGGGACATGTATTAGTCTCAGTTGGAAATCATCTCCGTTTCTTGCACAAAAGCCATCTCAGGTTCAATCTATATCAAGCTTGGTATTGCCTTTTGAGTTAATCCATTTGAGTTGTGACATATGGCATCGATATGATACTTTTTTGAACTGTTGGAATGTTTTTTGCAACATGGTGCATTGAGTGTAAATTTATGGAGCAGTGGTTTGGCATTTGTTGGTTGTACGTTAGATCAGTTTTTTTTTTCAAGAACAACAATTTGAGTGAAAAACTATGGAAAAATTTATGATGATGCTTTGGTGGTATAATTTATCGTCAATGTCATTTGATCTTAGATGCAAAATTATGAGGCAGAAAAAACTGGATTAGTTTAGTGATTATCATCATATGTCATGTAGAGATTGAAATGAAGAATTATGAGGCAGAAAATAATGAAGAAGGTGAAGCTGCAATTGATGGGTATGCTGCAATTATGTCAAAGGAGAAAAGTGCTGGTCCAATAATGTGTGGAAGAGGTGTCACCAAGAAAGACCTTGCTAATACAAAAGAGACCGTACAGTCGTATGTCATGACTTCTAATGATATGGAGACAGTCATGAGCACTTTGAGAAAGGAGATTGAAGAAAAAAATGAGAAAAAGGATGCCGAGCTAGAACAAATGCGGAAGGAGCGTGAAGTTGAGAAACAGAAGATGGATTTGATTCTAGCAAAACTGTCTGCCATGATTCCAAATTTTGATGTCAACTCGCTTGGAGTATAGAGTCAGAGATATTTAATTAGCTAGTTTTTTAAAGGATTAATCGGTTGCTGTTATTATCAATTTTGATATATTACAATACTATTTATTTCAAATTGTGCAACGTTGATTATCTTGTTATCCATTTGAGTTTCTCTTTGACACATAAAATATGTAATGAATATTGCTTGATTGGATAATATAATATTGTGATGCTTTTAACATTTTCATTGATATGTATTGATGCTTATAAGTCTATAACTATATACGTGTGGGTATATATATATATATATATATATATATATATATATATATATATATATATATATATATATATATATATATATATATATATATATTTCATTTTCTTAGAAAAAGTGTTACCTATATAACTTAACAAAAGTGTTGCAATTTCGAGAAACTTGTTGCATAAAATAGTGACACACATGTTACATAATCTAAATTGGCCTTTTTATTCCAATATTACTAAAAATAGCCTAAAAGATAAAAAAAGTGATCTGTTTTTAAAAATTCAAAAAATGTGACCAACATTGCAAAGTGACTCCGGGCAAAGTGACTCCTGCCAAAGTGACCCCACCAACCACAGTGACTGCCCCACCGAACACAATGACTGTCCCGCCGCCACAGTGACTGCCACGCCGCCACAGTGACTCCGGTCACAGTGACTCCGGTCACAGTGACTCCGGCCATAGTGACAACGGCTATACTGACATCCAATTCCGGTCAGAGTGACCCGATTCTGACAAGAGTGACACCCGATTCCGACAACAATGAAATCCCAATCCTGGCATAGTGACACCCAATTCTGGCCACGGGCCCATAGTGACACCCAATTCCCGCCATAGTGAAGTGCCTATTCCGGCCACGGCCACAATAACACCACCACCACTCCTGCACCGCCATCCTAGCATACTGCTTACTACCATGCCCCAGCGATCCAAACCCCAGCCCTTGCCCCTGCCCTAGCTCTGACTTCCCACCAGCCCCTCACTAGCCACTGCCAAACACCGCACCCCGCCGCCCCCAGAATGCTCCCTCATCCCCTCCCCTAGCAGCCCCCAACCCTCTCCACACTCTACCCAGCCCATCCTCTTCGCCGTCGGTCCATATCCCCTTCCAAGCCGTCCATTCCCATATGAGGACCCGGAGTGATAAATGGTCGCAGATCCAGAAGAGAAAGCGGCCCCAATCGAAAGAGACGAGCAGATCTGATGCAAAGAGGAGGCTGGAGAACATATACCGATGCGCACCGATGCAGAACATATCCGAGATGCACCGGTGCAGAACAGATCTGAGATGCAGAGATTATCGATGGCTCGCCATTACCGCCGGAGCATCTGAATCTCCGTCTGAAATTGCCACGAACGGGACCCTGGCATCCGGCGGAGGAGAGGCGACGCGGAGGCAGACAAGCGAGGCGACGCGGTGGAGACGAGAACCGGAGCGGCCGTTTAGGGACTGGTCTCCATATGGATCTGTGTGCGGTGCGAAGAAAGAGGCAGAGAGAGTCGATGGTTTGCGCGTGCGAAAGAAGATGACGGTTAAGATTTGTCATATTTTTGGGAAATGTTAAACGAGTCATATATTTAGAATCCATAAGTCCAGCAATAATATGCGGGTCATTTTTTCATCTAAATTTATGTTGCAAGAAGTCATAGCATTAGTGTTGCATTTTATTCAAAAAACTGTTGCGTAAGATGGTGGTTAATCTCTCGTGTGAAAGTGTTGCATTAGAGTAAAATATGTAACATTTTTATTAAATGTTGCATAATATAGTGAAAAGTGTTGCATATGACTTTATGCAACAAGACCTGAAGTAACACTCATAAAAGTGTTACATAAACCTTTTGTAACATTTTAACTATGTAATGCAACATTTTACGGGTGTTACAAAAGGCCTATTTTGTTGTAGTGTCTCATCCATAGCTTCTTTGTTGTTTGGCATACCTTAAATTATCATCAACAACTAATATTAATATAGGGTTAGTCTTAATAAAAATGCCTAGTTTACCATATTTGATGCAAAGGAAAATAACATTAAACAAAGATTAAAATATAACAATTACTTACTACACAGAAGCAAAGGAATTCAGTCCACCTCACACACTATTATAAATCTGATCATCGTCCGGGTTTTCCACATCAATAAAAGGGATTACGAATTGCAAAGTTAGTGGTTCATGAATAACCATTTCTTCACATCCTGAATCTGAAGTATTATTCAACCTTTGTCCCACAGAGCATACAACCGATTTCCTGTTATCAAGTTGATCTTTAACATAAAAGACTTTTTTTGCATGACAAGCTAAAATAAAGTACATGTCTTATTAAGATCTACTAGTGTAAATCCCAAATCACACTTGAAAACAACTCTTTTAGTCATGAGGTAGTGAAGGACCCAACTTTCATCAAGTACGCCATAATAAATTGTTGGGCATAGATTGCTATTCTTAGAACTAGACACCTGAATAGCATCTAAACAAACACCACTGTTTTGTGTGATGCGATTTGAATCTCGGGCCTTCGTGGCAAATTTAAACCCGTTGACAAAATATCCAGAGTACACTGTCACGGTTGAGTTAGGTTTCTTAGCTAACCATTGCACTGTTTGATTAACTTCGACCCCATTCGTGACTTGAATTTCAACCTACAAGCTTATTGTTTTAGTATTTTAAAAACATGTATTACTTACGTCCCAATTTGATGGTACCATTTCTCTCTCCTTTGGTCAACACAAATCACTCTTAAATCTCTTACTTTATGTATTAAATTTTAATCAAATTTAATCCAGGTGTTTGGGACTTTGTAAAGTTTTTAATGTAGTTTTTGAATATGTAATTTTTTTTCTAAAAATAATTTGAGTGCGGATAGGGATCCATTTGCTTTATCTTCAATCAAAATTTGTAAACCACAATGGTATCATCAAATTGGGACGGGGGTAGTAATATTTTTCATGACCATTACATTCAGGGACGGATCCAGGATTCTGAGTCAAGGGGGGCGAAATTTTTCGTTAGTGTAGGGGGTGATTTTTTTTTGTTAGTGTAGCGGGGTGAAATTTTTTTCCCTAGTATAGCGGGGCGAAATTTTTTCGCTACTGTAGGGCTATGCGGCTATTTTTATTCAAAAAATGACATTAATACATGCACATCCCGAACGACATTTAAATCTATTACATTCTAAGTTTAGACGATGACAAAGACATCAACCAATACATTTTCAATAACTTCTACATTGTTTAACCTCATGAATCGGTTATTGAATTGTAATTTTTGTCCACCAAGAAGAGTGTTCGTGAGTCATGACTCATGAGAAGTTTTCTTAATATTACAATAGTAGTATACTAGTATGTATGGGATTGTTATTTTTAGAATAATATGCACCACATACACACACACATATATGGTGCATATTATATTTTAATATTTTTATTAATTCTATAATAATTTAGAGTTTATTATCCATGCAATAAATTATTTTTAGAAAGCAAGAAGTAAATGAATTATGTAATCTAATGTCTATAAATATTTATATTTTGGATTCATTTCACGTGATCTAAAAATTGTGTAATTAGTGTGTTTGGTATTTAATATTGTTTGATATATGTTTTACGAAATCCAGTACTTGTTATCTAATAAAGATAATTAAACATTACAAAACTAGGAATTCTTATATAATAAGTATCCTAAATCTTAAATAACGAGTTACTCTATTGTTTATTTGTTTAAATTATGTAAATTATTTTAGATGTTTCTTCTTTTAAATCTCCAATTAAGTATTACATTATGTAAGACTATATATATTAATTTTGAAAATTAAAAGCTAAGGGGGGCGAATCTAATTAAATTATGAAAGTTTTATGAAAATATTACATATATGGTAAAAAAAAAAATTGAATGTCCAAGGGGGGCGGTCGCCCCCCCCCCCCCCCCCCCCCCCCCCCCGCACCCCCCCCTAAATCCATCCCTGATTACATTCAACTTTTATAGTTAGCAACCTTTTTTTCAAACCACTAATTGGACAAGCCAACAACTGTAAGAAGAGCTGAGAGAACTATGTGGATGGACTCCATCACTTGAGAGAGCCAATCTAAGATTCCTTGGCTCTTCGCTGAAGTCAGGCCACATTTTATCAAGATGATGCCAAGCCGGAGCATCAGCTAGGTGGCGTAGCTTTCCATCGTTAACTCGATGGTTAGCATGCCATGTCATATTCTCTGCTGTTTTAGGAGACTGGAACATGCGTTTGAATCGCGGGATAGGAGAAAAATACCACAATACTTGCCCATTACCTGACTTAACTTAAACAAGCCAGTGATCTTAACTTAAAGTACAATCAAGTCCTGCAATTCTCTTTAACTTAGAACCAAGTCCTGCAATGATTTACTAACAGATCAATAAATCATCAAAAATTGATAAAAGATTCACTACTATGCCAAGTTAAGAGCACGACAAAAGTATATCCACAATTTGTCAATTAGTAGTACTATCCAATTACTTGTATGTCTGCAATTTTCACTTATTAAGTGTAATCAACTTCTGCAATTTTATTTAACTTAGCAGAACCTTATGCAAAGATGTAGAGGTGGTTAATACACCCTCCTTAACCAATAGCTTGTATGGAGTTCCCAAAGGGCCATGATATATATACATACATACATGTTCATATTTTTTTTATTTCAAAAATTAAAACGGGGCTAGATTGAGGCGTGAGGGGGCGGGATGAATCCTGGAGGCGTTGCGAGATTGAAACAGTGTGACTCCTCGAAATCTTATTATCATGTAAGTCGCTGGGAGGGGGTTAGGTTTTGGGCGAACGGATTGTTACGGTTCCGACTAGACGTAGCAATTGGAGAAATTTTATAACTTATTTTATGTGGTTCGACTCTATCCGCAGCAATTAGGATTAAATATCTACCTTTTTGTTGCGGTTCTTCAGTAGCCGCAGCAAATACTTGAAAATTT